TCCGAATTACTTGTTTTTATATCAAAATGTTTAGGTGACCGAATGTGGTAACTTCAAGTGTTACACAGTTTATCGATGGTGACTGGTAAGTTAATATGTATCACATTCACATATTAGGTCTTTGCAGTAGGATGACGAGCGAAATAAAACTGTGCGTGTAAGAAAACAAACCATTTCGTCTTATTATTATTATTGTTATTTTTATAATTTTACCTAAAAATCCACGGGCAGGCAACGTCACTATATTAAACTTATACAGGGGCTATGCACATAATACAATATGTATTATATATATATATGGTATATCCTTGATCACCCTCGAATACAATATAGGTACCTACTATGCAATATAACGACGTGACGTTTCCACTCCATGTAAAACACTGCTGGTGATCATCATCAGGCCTGGAATCATAGGCAGCAGCAGCTCCTTCCTCGTTTTCGCGGTCGCACATGCAGTGAAATACTAATGAACGATGGTCTTGAACACTAGTGTATAATATTATTATAATAATATCAAGTCGACTCGACGTATTTATTTGTTTTCCCTCCCCGCTCGAAACGTTCGTGGCGAGACTCGGAGCGCCGTCGATCTTGGTGTACCAATATAATAATAATAATGTCATGAACTTAGCTATAGTTTAGTTAGGTAGTTTAGTTAGCTGGGTATTTAGGTATATAATATAATGCTATAAGTCAACTAGTATAGTGTAATATTGCATAAATATGTCTAAGGAAAAAATTGCTGAAAACAGTAATGTCCGGTGTAATGATTTCGTGGGAAATAATTCCCAATAGGATTCAATGAGTAGTTTACTCCGTCGATGTTATTTTTATAGTGCTTGCATATAAAAATATGTAAATGAAGTAATTGGAAATAACTCTCATATTGGATAGATAACAGTATGACACTATTATTTTTGAATAATTGCAATATCAAAATTATAAAACAATTTATCACGTCAGAAATGTGGTCCTATGTTTCACATTAGTTCATGATGTTCTCAAATATAACATACTGGAAATATAAAAATATAGTATTATTATCAAATATCAATAATGGTCACTGACATTTAACATTCAAATAAAAATAAAAATAAATTTTACCCATTTAGTTATGCATGTGTGATTCAACTTGGATTCGAAATGAAGAGCCCGGCGTTATTGTTATAATAACTTAGCTATCAATAAAATATGATCTACTGTTTATAGTTGATAAGAAATAGTTTCGCGTCATTCGCATCCTGCGGATCCTGCAAGTGATTAAAACGTCATATTTTCAAGGTTTTGGACCAGAAATAGTTATTCAGTTTTAAGGGGTTTTGCCTGTTTTGAGGGCTAAATGTATCCACATTTTTAATCTACAAACACCCGAATAAAAAATCCAAGCAAACATTTGGGTACTAGTATAACCTTTATTATCATGTTAATATGGGTTAATACGAGTGTTAGGTAAATAATATAAGAAAAACTAAATTGGAAATTATCTTTTCTTCTCGTTAAATATTATTACTAAATTAAATAACTATGATCATTTATTATTATTATAATTATTATAAAATGTCCATTTAGATAGTTTGCTAGAACAAAAACAGTTTATTTCACTTAAAAGTTAAAAGTTAAAACTTATCTTACAATATATAGGTACCCGTCAGTATTTATTATCAAAACACCAACCACAAAATTGAATTAACCGTAAAATATACATTAGGGTACATGTACACAAAGACTTATTATCACGAGAAATGTTTAAGTAAAGAATCATACTTCGTGTAACACGAATGTTGTATTTTTTCTATTTTAAAAATAACTATCTGAGCTAAAATATAGATGGTTACGACTTACGAGTTTTCGGATTTTTAAGTGTCTTCTACCTACAAAAAATCTCCTGCATGTATTATTTTTCTATTAACTTTAATTTGTTAAAATATACGGGATATTTTTACATCGAACATGTTTGCCCAACTATTAGAATTTGCCATCTGATTTCTAGAATTTATATGCACAGTACACATTGTCCGTCCACTTAATATAATTGTATATATAATATTAATGGAATACTACCATGCGGAATGGAGATTGGAGAGTGTTATAAGTCATTATTATTACATTACGAATATTTTTGGTTAGGTAAGCAGTAACTGCTGCGATCGGTCGATTGTCGTCAGTGGTATTATTATTATTAAAACATTATGTTTTCAATCATTGCAGTTAGAGATGGGATGACATAAAAAACATGACGAAATTGCACACGAAGCGCTACAGATAATTGTGCGATGGTAGAGAGACGCTGGCAGGTCGCGATTGTTTACTATCGTCTCATTATACATCGATATCCGAAGGAGAAAAAATTGTCTCGTGAATAAAGCTATTATATTGTTATCTTTGTAACTCTCACAAACTTGTATACTATATATATATTTATATATGTATATATATTATAAATTGTGACAAGAACGAGTTTACGCAAATCGGTCATAAATTATTAGGCAAGTGGTTTTAGAGCTAAACGCAGCAACAGATAATAAAAACAATTATAGAGAAACAATATCCCGTAGACTATTTTATTTATTATAATATTGGATAGTAAATATTAAAATTAATAATATCCATGATTCGCATCAATTTATCTATGTGTTTATTATATATTTTTATGATGGAGTTGATTTAAAATACAGTCATAATTTTTATGGTATATTAGTAAATTACAATTGTGAGAGGCAATACATTCGATAGACCTTACAACAGGTGTTCTATGAAGCCTAAGTATTGAAATGTACTGTTGCGTGTGCTTTTTAACACACTAACAATTAGATAGTATTATTTGGCCAAACCCCAATGTTATAAATTATTAACTCAAAGGATGGGAAATTTAAATTCAGTGCACAGTCAAATTCCATCAACTTGAGCGACTCACCTCTATAATATTTTATAAATGTAAACGTTTCGTCTTTTATAATATTTTCGGTTTTTTTTGTTCTGATTGAATATATTTTTGCAGAGGCTTATTGTTATTGAACTGATATAAGGTAGCTTAGTGCAGGTGTATATCATGGGAAAAAATATCACTCGGGAAGTCATCGTAAAATCGTGCAATTTCAAAGTACATATTACACACACAAGGTACAATTCACACACACGCACACGCATATACACACTATGCATACATCAGTACAATGTTGTAATGGCAATACTGTATGTATAATTTATTTGTTTTGAAAATAATTTATCGTAATAATAATTCATGTTTTTTAATTATTAATGTGCGGTATATAAATCATTCAAATAAGTAGTTGCCGGTGAATTATAATAAGCAGTTGCGACGTCCTCCGATCCAAAGTGACAAAGATCAATGAGTGAAAACGAATTTTTGATACGGTTTTCTCGTGTCAAATAAATATTATATACACGTCGCGGCAGAATCGATGTTGGGCCTTTAAAAAGAGAATAAGAAAAAAAAATCAACCAGGACCTATAATTTAGTTAAAACCGGATAAATGGGTAGATTATAATACCGTATGTTTGGGGTTTAATACCTCCCTCCCCGTTTGAGCACATCAGACATGTAAGTGTAATGTATATTATATAGGTAGGTATATATGTTTTTAATAACAATAATAAAATAAAGATTTATTTTACCAATTGTGTTATTATATAGGAGGAGGTGGAGGTATATGCGGCTGTTATTATTCACCGAATTCCGTGTACGCGCATTATGCATATTGTTTAAAATTACTGTGTCTACAATATAATATACAATAATAATAATACACCATACATATATCACATGGTCATACGTACATTTATACATTTATATATTGTATGTAAGTATATAAGAGTGTGGTGAAACCGATCATTACTACAAATGCCTGGGAAACAAAGATGACAGAGGTATATTATACACACAATATTTTAATATAATATTATATAGGTACCCATGTATGTATGGCGATGGATCGATGTGCATGCGTAAATCGTTCTACCATAATATATAAGAGCGTGTGCAGTATATACAAACACTCATATTTATATATATTTTTATATATGTATTTGTTATGAAATTTATGTATACATAATATATTATCGTGCGTGTGCTAAGACGACGGTTTAAATTAAACATTATATAGAAAAAAATCCAAGTTTCACTTTTTTAATTGGGCTTACTGTGAGAATAACAAATTGCAACCTAATCGTGGTACAATCATTTTTCATATAATTGTTTTGGATATTTAATTTTTTAGTTTCTAGGACGAAAAAAAAACTGTTGCACCAATTACCAATTGCGTGACGACTGTGACACTGCTCAAATACAATTGGCAATAATAAAACCTACCAAATAATAGTATCATCTGTACGCACGATAGAGATACAACTCATAACGTAAATCGTTAAATAGATTTCAGATAATATGCACACATACCAATGTACCATGTAGGTGACATGGGATGTTTAGGTATAAACTATAAAAAACATAAAGTGCATGCTATATTATGAGGTATAGTGGCATATATTTGTAACCTTATAGAAACATAATAATATATTTACGATTTGAATCAATGCTTCAATACCGGCATCGCTAAAATGTTATTAGTATGATACAATCCCAAAATCTGGTGGAGTAGGTGGGCTGACTTGAGAACTATGCATCAATCTCGAAGTAATCGGGTGAATTCAATGGGTTGTATAAAGTTGGTCCACTCTCCTGAAGAATGTGTAAAAGTCACTCACAAATTCTGGAAGTACACTCGCGAATTATCGCAAATTACACGCAAAATATTGATTTAATATTCAGATAGATATATTAATATTGGTAGGCCAAGTTAATGGATGTCAATATTGTTGCATTTGTTAGTAAAATGTGATACAATTATAAAAAAATAAAATTAGATACATATAATTATATCAACAATCTACCTTTTAATAAAATTCCTTTCTTTTTTCTTTCTAAATCTTATGCATATAGTTCTAACAAACTACAAACACCACATGAATTAATAAATTCATTCTAATTCAAATGGACGTTTAATTTCAATGACAAATATGAAACATCCAACAACACGGCCACTTTTTTTGGTATAGTTCATTTTGTACGTTCCATAGAAAATTTGTTTTGGTAAATTTGTATTAGATGGATAGTTTGATATATCATAACCTTTGGTGGTATATATTCCCTAAAATAATATACTTCATAATGTTCGTATAGTATTTAATTTTGGTGCAAACTCTTTTCTAAAAAACAACATACTGGTGGAATCAAATTCTGTTTTGTGTCATTTACTCCAAAGCTATTTAAAAATACTGTAAATTCAGCTTAATATCAATAATATTTAATTATGCTATATTTTAATAAAAAAAATAATAAAAATAATAATTATTATAGATGAATTGTATACAGAGGTGCATTTATTTATTACATTATTAGATTTCATTGATAAAATGTATTTCTCCTGCAGTATTCTTTCGTCGATCATCTTTCAAGAAAATGTCAAATTAAATACAAAAACCTAATAAGATTTCTCCAGAACTAAACCGTAATGCAATACGACTGTATTACTTTTTTTTTAAATGTTTAAGAGCCAGATGTAGACAGGTATTCAGATTGAGGACCATAATTATTGTACCCTGTTGACAGTTGTGGCAAATTGTTTTGTCCATTTAGAGGATGGACGTTTATATTGACATATTCTTATTGTGTACTTAGTTGTATCAAAAATATATAAATTTATATTATGTATTTTAATTATTAGTATAACCTTTAGTTAAAAACAAGTCGGAAATAATATTAAATATTCCAAAAATATTTAAGGTCAATCATGAAGATATTTCACGTTAACATTATTGACACTTGAATTAGAAATAACAGGTATTGCTTAAAGAACATTTTGAAGAAATGATCATTTTATCTTCAATTCTAGGAAAAAGTATTAAAATATGTATCTAGATTATTATTAATTATCATTAATACGATTAAGAACAGAGAAAACGCAATAATAATATGTAATACGCATTTTTTTTTCAGTTTAAATGTTATTTTAATAATTTGTACCTACCCATATACGTAAAGTTCAGAACAAGGAATTCGATTCTTTGAATATAATGTGTCCATCAAGTTTTTTTTTTAAATAAAAAAAAACAGTAAACACTCGTTCAGACATTTTTGTAGAAAAAAAACAAATCTATTGAGAATAAATATTAACTAATAGAACCAGCATTAGCTTAGCATTTAATATTAAAATAGATCTCACAGCCTAAGGTGCAATCAACTCTCCACAATCATCGTCCACACAAATTACTTCACTCAGGGACATACGAACACTTAAAACGAATAAATGTAAACTATGGTGGCACCAAAAGTGGACATCTTACTCTACTAAATAAAATCATAATATTAAACATAACACTGACGGTGGGATTTTTCCTATCGAAATTCACAGAAAATTAGAAATCATAGTAACGAGACTCAGAATCGGACCCACGCAAATCGCCCAGTTTTTTTAATTGGCCAAGAATGAACCCCCAATGTGCACATCCTGTGGTATCCAAGTCATCATAATCCACATTCTCACAAATACCGAACATACCACAATATCCGAACAAGCCAAAACCTGCCTGAATCACTAACCGAAAACACCCTCAATCCATCATCCAATTCATCACAGCAGCCAAACTTCGAAATAAGATATAAAAATGTATAATTAGAATAAGTATAGACAATTAATTAATCATATATTCTGTAAACCCAATGGCCCATGTAGCCGAGGGTTTTTTTTCTTTCAATAAAAAAAAAAAACTATAATAATAAAAAAGAAATAAAACTAAGGTTTGAACATTTTAAACACTCTATCGAAAATATCCATGGACATCCCATTCCCTCTAGAATTCATAAAACAATACGATACTGATGACATGCAAACGATTAAAGTTCTAGAATTAACGAGAACCAAATAAAAATCTTTTTTTAATACTTTAATTTGTTTATTTAATATTGGTTTTTCTAGAGACTTGTGAGATAACTAATAGGTGTAAATATGCATAATCGGAACGAATGAAGTTTAGCTCACAAGCCATTTTTGTGAATTTTTTTTCTTAAAAATGTGTTTTTGCATGCTCAATATAATGGTACTGAAAAAAATTATAAATTGTCTTTAGAAATTATGGTCAAAAAATGTAAAAACTTCGAAATTCCGGGTTTTAGCTTAAAATTCTTAAAAATAACATTAATTATTATTTTTTTTGTGTAAACAAGACATTTTTCATCCTTAACATTTTGGAGGATTCATAAATTGTCCATTGCACTTTTATTTTATTCTTAATAAAATAGTTTATTAGAAAAAACCCCTTGATGGGTGGAAAGAAACAAACTTTGAAACTAAGTTAAAAAAATTCTGATTGCACCATTGTTCTTTACACATGAAAATACTAATGTTCTGAAAAAATTTCAAAAACCGTTTGTTAGCTAAACTATATTATATTTATAAAACAAAATAGTAGTCACAGGCACCTTATATATTTTTAAGAAATAACTTATTTGGGAGGAGTAAAATATGTTGGCCTGGGGTGAAAAGTGTTCAAATACGGCCCTGATCAGACTTATGATAATAACTTAGAGGTCCTGGCCTAAAGTCATCTAATAGATACATAGAACAACAAAGCATAAGGAATAAATTAGTAGGAAGTATAAATTATAAAGTAATGCCGAAGTATTTGTTTTTACGAAAGTTAAATTTTGATTAGGTATACTGTTAGTTTAAAATATTTTCTATTTAAGAATCGATTTCCACTTACTAGGGGTAAATTTGGGAGCAACTTGAAGTCCTTTACTCCGGGAATCGACAAGAATCATAAATTCTACTAAAATAATAAAAAAGTACTACATAGTTCATCAGTTTGAAGTATGTTATGTAAATGTAATTAATATTCACAATCGAATGATAATATTATGATAGAGTCAAAGGTAATTCTGCTTCTGATAAATATTATATTCAACAAGCTTGTTCATAGTTTATTTTTCGTAGACTTAGTAATATATTATTTTTAAATTTGTTTAATTAATATTGTGTCCAAAAAAACAATAACCATTGTTATTATTTAACTACGTATAAAATATTATCGTGATAATTGTAGAATAAATAATATTATTATTTTTATCAAGATTGTCCCCTGTACATTTGGCCTAATACAATGTTAATTATGTTGGTTTTTAGATGATCTAAAAATATAAACAAAATCTGATTGATTCTTTTTCAAACGAGAACATCCCCTCTTTGGAAATGGTTGGGCAGAGTATTTTTATGAAACTGATTATACATATTAATCAACATTTTGCCCAACATTTTTAAGTCATTATACTTTTGTACTATAAAATATGAATGATTACCGCGATAATAGATTCCACATGCTAGCCAATAAAGCTAATATGAAAATTATATTTATACAGGTAACAATACTCATATATGTCCATACTTTACCATACTTTACAATGAGAAATGCGTGTTTTCCCTTTGAAAAATAATATTCTGTATTGCCAAAGGTCACTCGTTTAAAGGTATACGATTATATATGTACTTAATAATATACATTTTTTACTTCAGTTTAGTTAAACATTTAAATAAAAAATTGGAATTTGACTAAACCAATTATTAATGAATAAAATGGATACCCAGTAATTAATTTTGTATAATGGAGTTCAATCTGATATAGATACTACCAGAATTATCAATAAGTGATAAAAATAGTGTAGGTTATGGTTGTAATCCGTTTTATAGATAATTCATCGACATACATGATACCAGGAATGTGGGATAAAAGAAGCGTACATTGTCTGGGCAAATTTGTCCAGACTGTGGAAGTGCAATTTGAAAATAAAAAATGGATGTGATTTAATGACAGCAATTTTAATACAAACTATTGACCTTTAAATAGTTATGTGTATCTCGAAAGTAGTTTAAATTCCTTTGACCTTACTGTTAATATGTAGTAACTGAGCACTCCTGCAATAAAAATATCATCGACCAATAATATTTTATACAATACACAGCTACCGAGATTCACATTAGAAATTAATGGTACTTATTTCGGGTATCCACATAATATACCAGCATTTATTTTTTGTGATATTTGTTTACACAACTGCGTCGAAGAGTGATTGTATCAACTGGTGTCAAGCAATCGCGGGGACGGGTCAAACTAACAAGATGTTAATAATATACTAGAATTTTAGACTTGCGGTGACGGAGGTGGCAGGCGGGTATCAGAAAGTTCCGGAAGATCTATTCGAGCTTAAAATACGACTAGAAAATGTATAATATTTAAATATTTAAAAATATATTATATTGTATTATATAGCCACGGATTCGTCTCTTATAAGAACCCTTTTTGATGGCTTTATTAGCCATATATTTCATTTATTTTAAATATTTTTACTCTTAATTACCTACTTATTTAATTTTTATAATGGAATATAATGGTACAAATTGAACGCAATATTTTTTAAATATATAGTATTATTATTACATGAAGTCTGTATTTTAGTATAATTTTCATGATCTAATGAAATAATTCCATTTTTAGTACTTTACTTTGTTCTATTTAAATTATTTTTGATGTGCAACATCTATTGGCGTGCCTTAGGGACAAGACCAACCGTATGTCATGCCGTGACGGAGAACGGCATGATTCAGAAAAAATAAAAATAAAAATTTGTAACCAATGGTAATAATTTACAAAAAAAAAATAATAATAATAATATCAATAATTTGTAATTGTACGTACAACAAACGATTCAATCCTTATGACATTATTCCTTGAACAAAAATATTTAAAAAATGGTTATTTGTCTTGTGTTTATATTGTAAATATTATATTATTATTAAAATAACAATAATATATTTGTTTTATAAACGAAACTCTATATTTTTATTTATTTTATTATTTATTGGTTTCAACTTTTAACTATAAATTATTGAAATAACCATCAATGTCGATGTTTTATATCTGCCAGGTGTCTCTTGACGGTTTTTACTTTTATATTTGTTTTTCATATATCTTGGTTTTTGTTTTTTTTTTCAAAATTTCCAACCACGTTGTTCAAATTGTCATATTCGGATTTTGGAATACAAATATCATATTTTTCATATATTTTGTGATAATGCATAGCTTGTATTTTTTTTCCAAATTTGAATAATGACATTATTTTCAATCATGTAGATACATTCAAATTGTTTATATTTTTCCACATTTGATGAAAACAATTTTTTTACACACAATACAATGATGTTTATTATTTTTCGTAGTTTATTAATTGTATTTATTTCAATGGAATAATGGGCCCAACTAAACATGCTCGGGCCTCATGTGAAGGCCATGAAAATATTAACCAAACATTTTATTGTTATATCGTATAATATGTTCCGAACTGTAGTAAAATATATATTGACATTTTTAGACACTTGAAAGTTTGGCGAATAGTGACCCTTATGAAGTAGGAACAAATGTATAAATATATTTAAAAACAATACTGATGATTTTACTGGTAACAATAATAGGTAATATCTTACAATAATTAGTACCTAATTATTTTAGTACCCACTACTTTAAGTATACCTAAGTACCTAACTACTTTGTCGATAAATCAACTATAACTAATATATAATAATTTAAATGTTTTTAGAGCGTATTTAACCCAAGCTTATGGGTGAGGTGAAATTAATTTTTCTTCTATTCAGAATTAAAAATGGATCAATTAGAATTTTGTTTGTGAAATCAAGTATAAACTTTAATTTATTATATTGGTACATAAAAATATAAATGATTAATTATACTCTATTCCAAATAAGTCTGGAAAAATCTTACATGCAGGTCCGCTGTGATTGGCTACAGTTTCGGTTACTCGTCGTGATTAGGCTACTGGCAGAAACCGGAAGTGTTTTCGTCGTACATTTTTCGAGACTTATTTGGAATAGAGTATAGTAAGAGGGATATTTTTTTTCTTTTTTTTTTTAATTATAATATTTATAATATGTATTTTTATAGAATTTCATTCGTGTAATAAATTATATAACATTTATAATATTATAATTTGAAGTTAAATATGAAGTGTCCTACACTCCTACATCACTACATCATAAAATGGGTAAATCTTCTTAAACAGTGGTTTCGTCATATGTATTTTGTAGTTAAGTTTATAATTATTTTATTCGTAATTAGCTATGTCTCGCATATGTCATACAATTTTGACTAAAGATCATATTATTTTTTTTAAATATTTAAAAAAAATGACCAACAACAGGCTCTTATTTGAGCACTGTGGTTAGCAAAATATTAATTAAGTTAATTCACCTTTATGAAATAAAAAATATATTAATACAATAATAATTATGATACCTATTATGATAGAGACATTCGAGGAGAAAACAAATTAAAGCTGCATATTATAATAAGTATGTGCATGGAATCAGTCAGCACTAATTGAATTTAATCAGGTAAAGCAAAATTAATATTATTTTTACTTATTTTTAATGAATTTTAATTAAATTCATTTTAGAAATGTACAATCAAGAAATAAATTTAGTGAACGATTTATACTTTAATCATACCTGTATATTGTATTATGTCTGAAATCCTAACCTGAATAATCAATTGCCTGACATCGTAAACTATGGCTATGAAATTTCTAATTTTATTAATTATTATTATATTATTACACATTGCCTATATGTTCCATATTATATTGAATTTAAATACATACCAACT